CTGCGCGGTAGGCATTCATGCTTTGCGTAACGAAAGGTGATGAGCCTGTGACACAGGTGAAGGAGATGGTTCAGGTTGATGTGCTTCATTATTGTTTTTATAATGAAAATAATTGATGATCGAAAACGACATTTCAACTGTTCCAACCTAATAAATAGAATTAGTAGTAAAAATTGAATGAAAGTAATCTCCTATTACATTTAAAGAAGCGAGGAAAACCAACTTGGACTAGTTGATGCGTTAGCACCTCGGCTCACGTTTTGATCATGCGTACGAATGGCTTCTTCGTAAAACTGAGCGCGCGCCAAGTATTCAGCTGTGTTCAATGTCATGCCATCAAGATGTGAGACGTCGATTATATTCTAAAACACATTTATGAAGTAGGACAACAGTAAATTAATCACTGCCTTAACATAGCAACTGTTAACGATTTTTAATAAATCCGTGATTATGGTTCAAACAATAAGGTACTGCACTAACATTAAGCACTGTTAAGCTGGGAGTGTTCCGCCCATTAAAGTATGCCAACAGCTCAGAGAGCACCTCGCCGGCGCTGCAGATGTTTTCGTTGGACCAACACATTCGCGCTTGCGAATTACGTAGAACATGCGACACCGGAGCTGGGTTAGAAACTAGTGACAACCATAAGTAACTGCGAATTTGCGAAACACACCCACCATTGAACATAAACAAGCGCAAATGACTGCAGGATCGGAATATTCTTAAGAACAACAAAGCAGTAGTCATTACAAATCAATTTTCGAATGTGAGCGCCAGTTTACAGATAAGAAAGTGAAAATCAAAGATTCTCTGAAGATCACTTAATGCAAAAAGCCGGTGGATAAGTTAGAGAGAACAAAAACAGCTCGCATCTGCAAAAATAGGCAAAACCCATGTTGCAACGCAAAGAAAGATAATTCTAAGCTTTACTAAAAGCTATAGCGCTAGTGCCGTAGAGAAAAAATTAGACTACATTTTTTCGAAAACCCTCTGACTAGCATCGTTCCGTAATTTATAGTGAAAGTAGGACAACCTCAACTTCAACCTAAATGATATATGAAACTCATACGTAGTGAACCGAAGCTGAAGAAACTCACGTGCTGAGTGTTTTCAAGGATTCGATTCAAAGCTTCTTCTTCCTGTTCCTCTTTGCTTTTTACAGCCTTACGTGAAGCATCCCAGCCAACACTGTCCACCTCATCGACACCGCGACTGGAACGGCAAAACTTGTGAGAGATTGAACAGAACCATTATGGAGTGTAGAATTGAGAAATTATACAAAGGAACTAACATAGATTCGAATATCTGTTATTTTTCGCAATAATATTTCAAGACAGGCGCCGGTTAAGCTTGATGGTCAAGCACAGCTCTTAGAAACTGGCTCTATTAGATTAGGTGAGACCACGAAGCACTGAAATGGGAAAAAAGGGAGTGAGGAGGATGGCCAGGCTTCACACAGACAATAAAACTTGCTTTAAGGTAGAAAGTTGTGGATACATGAAACGGCAACAGCGTAACGGTTCACGGACTACTTGAACTTTCTTCTATGGCCCTGCCGCATGGCGGAGACTGCAATGTAAGGGGGAGGGACTCCGAGGTGGGTGAGCCAACTACGTGTGGCAAAAGTTTGAATGTGTGAGATCGCAGTGGTCATGAGCCGCTGGTGAGAGAGCGCAGACGAAAGCGTCGAGTGAGGCAGCTTAAAGGACCGAGTTCAAGGATTACGTGACTACTTGAACTCTCCCCTATGTTCTCTAACGCAAAAGGCCAGAGCACAGACGATTAGAGAACAGCGTCTGGCTCCTCTCCAAATCCCAACCGGGAAGTTGAGAGCCTCAGGACTAAGCCTTGGGGTCGACGGACTACTTGAACTCAGCCCTTTAAACCGCCTCTGCGCTCTCTCGCGGGTCCCTCTCCTCTCCAAGGCTTAGTCCTAGGGCATTCACCCGTTCTCTAATCGTCTGTGCTCTAGCCATCGCGGCAGGACCCATTTGAAAAATCAAGTAGTCCGTAAACCAGCCTTATCCAGCGTAGTCCAGAATGGCGTGAGCAAGTGACATAGTGGCAAAGTTTTGAACGTGTCAGATCACAGTAATCATAAGCCGCTGATTAGGCGAGAGAGCGCAGTCGCGAGTATCATAGCGAAGCGGTTCAAAGGACCGCGTTCAAGTTGTCCGTAGACCCAACTAACCCCGGGGTGTGGTTCACTAGGACAGAAAGCGACTTTTTTCGCGTTTCGCCGCGCCGAAATATTTTTCGCTGCAGAACTTCCTAGGTCCACTCATGATCAGCGGTGGACCTGAGGTTCCCGCAGCGGAAAATGTTTCGCGCTGCAAACGCGAAAAAGTCGCTTTCTGTCCTAGTGAACACACCCCCAACCCGTCACATGCTAATTTCTACCATCAAGTTTGAAGCTCGAAAAGTTCCCTCGACCCATGGATGACTTGACATAAGCCCTATTGCAATTGAAAAAGCTTGAGATTATACTGGGTTGTCACTCACTCTGCTGAATGGTAGTGACCTTTCTCTTCTTTTTCCAGACAGTTCCGCTAAATTGAGATATGAAGGGGATTACGAATTTACTGACTGACACAAAAGGAACGGAACAGGTGAGTAAGATACGCAACGTCAAGCATACCCATTGAGTCGCCCGTCGTCTCGTCTGACTGGAGTCACACTGGAGTCGTCATAGAAGCGCTCGTACGGCAAACCGTCATTGTCCTCACCACCACAGCAACAGATTGTTTTGATCATATCCATGCAAACAACCGAAAACAAAATAAAACATCACCCAGCCTATTGGCTCTGAAAAAAAGAACTACAGGCAAAAACAAAAATTATGACAGCCGAAAGGACGATATCAGTTTCGGATCGGGTGGTATTCACCAAAAATTTCCCGCGCGCGCTCGTTCAAACAAATGTCGCACTGGGGCGAGCTTTCTCTCAGCTACATAAATGGTGTTAGGTGACTACAGCAATTCTGAAGAAGAAAGACTGGTAGAGGACAGATGAGAATCACAATGGGACGACAAACTTTCCCAAATGGAGATTCCTGTGGAGTTATTGTTCGTAGTTGTTGTTAGGTATGTCTTCTTTCAACTGCAAACACACGGGAAGTGTGGTTTTTTGAATGCAGATGCAACTCGTAACGAAGAATTTGCACTGTAATGATCCTAACAATGAAGCATAAGAGATAACTGAGGCCGACGAGCTCTCATTAATCTCAGTCGTCTCAATCTGCCATTGAATATGGACGCCTTTCATAGGAATTCGGTAATGAGCGGTGTCAAACATCCACGTTTTCGTTGCAGTCACAAAGTTTCGATGGTTTATTATCGAAGTTTCCATATCATTAACACTTTTACCTTAGCTTGCCGAGTTAAAAGGATCTCGGACTTATAAGATGCATTGAAAAACTCCGTCTGGACTTTGGCGCAATGTATCTCGGGGAAGGGGATGCAGTCTGAAGTAAGCCTCAAATACCAAGGCGGAGATGGTGAAATTCAAAGAGAATGTGAACTGTTTGAGCATTTCGGATCCCTCTTTTCCTTTAGGCTTAGTTCTATACTGAGCGTTTCCGTAACTCTGTCGTATGTCGCGTGCACCCTCCACCGCGAGCCACACACGTTTGCCGTTGAGGATGAGGAACTACATATATTAGTAAAATCCCTCATGTTTTTGGCAAACTGGTGATGTTGCCCTGCCTTCGAGGGTAACTGAGCTTTCACTTCTACTAGAACTGGTGGTGAGGAAAAATGTATTCGAAACGACTTTGCGCATCATACTGACTTCGCCTGAGCAGGTAACTGAAAACCCATTGGTGGATTCTCATTTGGCGCATTTAATGGCAACCTTCGCCTGATTCTTACCAGTAGACATTATCAAAGTTCAAAAAGAGTCGGAATCACGAAGATGCATAATTCAAAAAGAGTCAGAATCACGAAGATGCATAATTCCCATACTTCGAAATCATCGCGGTGCTGTCCAAAGACATTTCCTACCACACTCATGCCTACGACCACACTCCCTTGTTATCATTCCTTCCTCTCCTTTAGGCAATATTAACTCTTACCTGCGGTCATACCAGTAATACCTACTCAAAATCTGAAAAAGCGCCGAAATCGCGCTAATAAATAGCGCGCCATAAATGGATTGAGGCTGTTAGCTCATCAAAAAATGTTGGCATTATATATTTCGACCTTAGCAAAGCATTTGATACGGTTGTTCATTCCCAAACTTCTTAGTAAACTTGAGAGTATAGGCATCAGGGGCAGGCTGTTGAAGTGGTTTAAATCCTACCTGACAGATCGAGTCTTTGTGGTTAAATTTAACAGAAGTTTTTCTCCAAGATATCATTGCACCTCCGGGGTTCCCCAAGGAGGGGTGCTCTCTCCTCTTTTGTTCATTATCTATACGATGGATCTGCCCTCCGCCCTACGAATCGACTCAAATGTTGATGTCGCTGCATTTGCGGACGATATCAAAATTTTTTCTTGTTCTGATTCCAGTGATATTAAGGAAACTGAAGCCTTGTTTAACCGCGTGGTCCACCGTATGTCTACTTGGGCAAACACCTGGGGGCTCAATCTCAACGTTGACAAAACTACTGTGATTTCCCTAGGCTCCCGATCAGCGGATTTATCTTTAGCAGAAATACCCTCTGCCAATGTCCAAGTTCAGGCACGTGATCTCGGTGTTATGATTTCCAAATCGCTTAGTTGGGAAATCCATATAGAATTTATCGTGTCTAAGGCCCTGCGTTGTTTATACAGTTTGTTCAGAATCGTCAAATCTTCTGACTTGACAATTCTACTCAAGCTATTCAAAACTTATGTCATCCCTATCCTCGAATACTGTAGCCAAGTGTGGAACCCTTCCACGAAAAAATTCATTTACAAACTGGAGAAGGTTCAGATGACATTCACAAGGCTTGTATACCTTCGTGTATTCCCAGACACCGGGTATCCCAGGTCCATGCCATCCTACAGCATTCGACTCAAAGAGCTCGGATTGAAAAGTCTTCTATATAGACGTGTTACTGCAGATTTGGTTTTGGCT